CGAAAGCAAACTCAACTAGACGGCAACTATCCTTCGGGAAGATTGGAAAGTCGAATGAATGAAACGGGAAATAGACGAAATGAAAACACCCAGAAAGTCATGACAGTTTGACTTTTTTCCAGAAATATAATATTCAATAGGAAGAGAACACTCATATCGTGCTCGATATGCTGAAAGCTATAGTAGAATGTATGATATTATGCTGAATCAGCTGTTATAGCTAACTCAACTGCAGGCTTCGCGATCAGGAAAGCCACGGGGTCTGGCTCCTCCCTAAAAACGTTGTTGGACTTTCCGGCAAAAGCTTTGACGTTTTTCCACAAGCAACTTTCTGCCAAAACTTTAGAAAACTTTTTTTCACCAGCCACTTTGTGCGAAGAGAAATTTTTAGCCCCTTCCATCTCTGAGAACAATCGAAAACCCTGTTCAACTAGCATACTAGCTGATTTATTCTACTATAGTATAGCTTTCATCATATCCAATACTGTAGCATATATTCATTATGAAATGAACCACATGACAATTAATTATCTCATATGAGAAACGACAGAATTTTCTAAAAAAGAAATTATCATTTTGTGGCACTAATTATACGATAACGAAGGAAGTATTTCAAAATTCTTTACTCTCTTACTTCCTACTTTACTCCTTTCCTTTTTCCCTTCTTTGTTCTTTCACTCCTTTCTTCTTTACTGTTTTGCTCTTTAACAAAAGACTGTTTAAAAAGTAGTAAAGAAGAATAAGTGTAAAAGAGTAAAGAAGGAAAAAAGTAAAGTAGAAAAGGAGTAAAGCAGGAAGTAAGAGAATAAAGAATTTTGAAATGCTACCTAAAGCAAATATCCGAAAAATAATTTCAGATGTATCATCTTCCACTTCTGTACTTTCGAATCATCTTTTGCCTGATATTATTCACATATCAACTGATTCATTATCCTGTTATATATTCTACTATAGCTTTTATTGTATCAAGCAGTATCTGTCAAGTATCACGTGGCAATTAATTATCTCAAAAAGATATGTTCATTTTTCAGGAACTAAAGGTAGGTGAACTAAGATGATGATTTTCCTCCCAGTAAAATCAAATAAACAAAAAATTTAAATTCCTATAATTATATCTAAGGTTGTCATTCGAAAGAGTTATGAATAGTCATCCTCCCGATCGAAAGAGATCGCTGAAGAGGGAGCATTCTGATTTATTACATATTACTCGTCCACAAAAACAAAAGAACTTAGTACCTAAAAAGGGCGAATTTAAAATAGCACCTATTGTAGTAAAAGGCATTCCAAATGTAATAAAAATACAACTAAACAATATTTTAAAAAAACGAATGAAAGATGCCAGAATTGAAAATATAATCCAAAATAAAAGAAATTTAATCGTAATACAGTCAAACTGTAACGTAAAACACACAAACTGCTCTTATTGTATTCGACGTTAAACAGACGTTCGATTCCGTTTGGTTTTCCCGATTATTATTCAAACTAAAACACATGAAAATCCCTGAATATCTATGGATGTGGCTTTATCATTTCCTCACTGACAGGGAGAGTGTGGTACAGTATAAATGCATAGTATCCGAAAGATTTACACTGAGACGAGGGACGCCTCAAGGCTCGCCTCTCTCTCCACTCCTCTACATACTCTTCACTAGTGACTCGCTGTCTCAAATACCCAACCACACAAATAGCAATTTATTCGCAGTTGACACATCATTGTGGAGTGGTGCCAATACAATAAAAAGTTTAGCCATTAGACTGCAAGAATCAGTTGATCAATTTGTACGCTGGTGTCAACTGTGGGAAATTAGAAATACAAGAAAAGAAAACAAAACTGATACATTTCACAAAACATCCAAGGAAAAAGATCCCATTAACTATCAACCCCATTAATTATCACCATCAATGCCCAGCAAATAACTCACACAAATGAAGTTAAACACTTAGGCCTTACATTTGATCGATGTCTTAGATTTAACAGACATATACAAGAGATAAAGAGAAAAACGTTGACGCGACTAGGACTTATACGATATCTAGCAAAGAATGCAGGTGAAAATTCAAAAAGATCTCTAATACTAGTCTACAAGATTCTGATACGCTGGCTGTTAACATATGCTGCACCAACCTTCATCAATATAGTCGATGATAAATCTTGGAATATAATACAAGTGCTTGAAAACAAAGGTTTAAGATATGTATTAAAAGTGCCCTTCTACACTTTTGGATCATATGTGCGCCAACACATCGATCTGGATCCAATTAAAGGATACTGTAATAAACAAACAACAAATTATCTAAACAGAGCTATGCAAACAAGGAAACAAAAGAGATATGTAGATTTTTGCAGAGACACTTCTCCTCAAAAATCATTATGAACTACCGCCGCTATCATGTTGCTGTGCCTAAAACTGTATAAAGGAAAACGAAAAAAAAACTGGGAATATCAAACCTAAGTGCAATACGAAATTTATTTTCTAAACTCTCTTTTTCCGGCAAAGGACCACTTGTTATCTGCCTTTTTCTGTATCGTTTATTATTTATAATAAACCTACCAAAATCCTGCGTTTCACTGAGTTGACTCAAAAAGGCGCTTCTACCATACTGTTTAAAGAAAATCTTTTCCGATGTCAGTGTCAGGCATACTAATTATCGCTTAAGATAATCTCGATTGTTTCTACCTCATATTTAATTCTATTTTTATTTGGAATATAGAAATGAGAGATAATGTATCTCTTTTTTTGAGAAATGAGAGATTCCATATTTATAATTATAATCTTCTGAGAAACGCAATCTCTTGCCACAATATTCGTTTCTCAAAAGAGATACTTCTCAATTGATTAAAAGAGATACATTGTAAAATATGGATTTGTATCTCTTCTGAGATGCTTCGGTAATAATGCTTTCCTGTGATTTTCGTATAAGTTAGTCTCATTGCTCGTATACATTATTTTTGAATGGTTTAAGAACAAACATATATCTAAGTTCTATCTATTTGTAATCAGTCAAAATTAATTAATTAATTAAACCTGTCAAGAACATCTGTAAATCTACTAGAATCAAAAAGTAAAAATATATAGGCATTGATACAGGACGAATGTATAAAAGCGAATGACTTTGATGTGTTGTTTGTTCTACAGTTAGAAAAATATCCTAAAATAACACCGTAATTCTTTCTTCTGCATAAAATTCTCGTCATTATGTGTACCAAACATCTATGCATTCTAGTTTTTAGCTTCAACTTTAATAGTACTGTATTTGATTTATTGATTAGTTAATTACAAGAAAACCATGTGAATAAAGCACACAGACGAGTTATTGATATATCAGAGACCCAAGAAAAATATTGTTTTTCAATAATATTTTGATTAACAGAAAATATTTCATCAAAGATCAACAATGTGACAACGTGTCTGAGTTGTACTTGATAAATGTCGTTTAGTCAAACGAAACACATCTTTAAAGATCTCTAGTTTTCGTAAGAAATCGTATAAGATTGGTGGATATAATTTCATCAGGCTGTGTAAAGTCATGTCGTTTCTTGTAAAATCTTGTAAGATTTCACAAGGTCGATCATTCATCGTTCCATATACATTCCGCTACCACACCAGGAATCCCAATTGTTTTTTAAGCAAAGAGAGAGTTAAAATTTTGACGAAAAGATTCTTAGAAAAGTGAGAAAATAGAAAAAAATTTATTAAACATATACGCTCTGTTTGAGCTGCTTTCTCCAAATCGGAATTATTGTACGAGACATGGTATATATTTATCATTCATTTACTGAAGACTAAACACAGTTCCAGGACGTTAATGTTCTACACATGCTGGAAATTACTGATTATAGAAAAAACAGAAAAATATACCGGGTTTCCCAAAACGATAGGTTGTTCTATGTTTGCATATATCTCAGTTCAAAACTAAAATTTTATTTAGTTCACTTTGATGTATGGGAACATGCCCACAATAAATTTATTTCTCGGTGTTTTTTAGACTGGGAAGTACTCGAGATTGGAGATTTGCAGTATATCCTTCACATTGTCTCATTTTTAAAGTATGTAGCAAAAAGTGTTGAATATATTTTTTGTAGAGAATTAAATGGTGCATCTTTCGAAAAACATTAAACCTTTATTATGTTTTTGGACTGAGATATATGCAAAGAACAAACGAACAATCATTTTGAAACACAAATAGAGCAATTGGTAACAAAAACTTGAACATTTGATCCTAAACATAATTAATTTTAAATAAATTTCTATAAGATCTAGTGCATACTTCTACAATCTTGTGAAATTTCTGTGGGTGCATATAAGATTATGTCATAGGGTTTTGAAAAGTCTTGTTTCAAGAAAACTCTTGTAAAAGCTTACTAAAATCCTACAGGATCATTCAAAAGGTTCATCGATATGCGTGCATCATTTTAAAACTAATGAAGGTTCATTGTTTAAACTTTTGAGGTATATTTTTTATTTGATGTTGTTCTAGAAGTGATTTCTTTTAAGTTACTAAAATGTGAAAAATATCTTTTCTCTTCTTTTTTTCTGGAAGATAATGTCAAATTAGTATATAGCCGAGGATGATATAAAAACAAACTTTTTTTTATATCATAAAAAGTAGTAGCGAGGGACTATACAATGGCAGAAGTCAACAAAAAGAGAAGAAAAAAAGAAAAAAAAATGTTAAAAAAAGAGAGTGTGAAGTATAGGAAAACAAACAACAAGAAAACAACTGATATTAACAAAAAAATAAATGTGTGAAATATGCAGCAGAAGCCCTTTTTGACTAGATAGAGGTGCGAGACAATTAACAGAAACAAGACTAAATAAAAAAAAAAAAATTTTAATGAAAATTTTCTAATATATCAGATATCTGACAGATACCTATAAAAGAATAGAAATTATGCCAGATTGAGTGTTTGTAGTGAATGACATTAATCATAGTTATTTTTTTTTTTTCTCGCATCTGGACGGAATCATTGAAAACAATAGAGAGAATAGAATAGATTCTCATTTATGACTAGCAGATTTTCCACTTTCTGTACTCTCTGAATCAGTCTGATCAATAGTTCTGATTTTTCGTCCAACATTTAACATTGATGGGGAAAATGGTTGAGCCGAAAGGGATAAACGTTTATAATGAATATGAGGTGATTGATAATTTAATGAAATTTTTGAACGATTTTGAGATATTATAGGCGATAATTTTTGTATTTTATCATTAGTTAAATTGAAATTATTTTTATTAGAATTATGATGCTGTTGTAGAACTAATGTACTAGTCGTTTTTCGATGTTCTTCGTTTCTAGAATATTTTCCTGGTAATGTATTCGAACGATGTAAGATTGGAATTAAATGATGGAGAGTTTCGATACTTGTTGAACTATTATTATTTTTACATAAATTATTAATATCTTTTGAATGATCATCGGAATTTTGTTGTGTTGAATGTAAATGTAGAATAACTGAATCGGCTGATGAACGTTTATTTAAATTTAATGTTTCAGTTCTACGTCGAATACCGCGTGCTAAAAATATAAGAGAAATTATATAATCTAAGCATATGATTTAAATAGTTTTATTATTATTATTAACCTCTTGGTGGAGTACTAGAATGAAATGTAAAATTTGGTGGCAATGATAATTGTTTTGTTAATGGATAATTATTAAAATCATCGAAAAACTAAAAAATATTAAAATTAATTTTAATGAATAATTATTAAATTTATTCTTTTATTCTTACATCAGGTTCTTTCTCATTTAATGATGTATTTGGTAAAAATGCTCGTGCTTCAGCTTCTAACTGTTGTTCAATTTCTGCATCAATATCGGCATCATCAGCCATCATTTTATTTGAATCCTTTTTAATATGAGAAAGAGAGAATGAGAAAAAATATATATTAAAGTAACCAAACTTACATCAAGATGTTTCATTAGTACGGCAACAACAACATTAACTAAAACAAATTGGGCCATTAAAACAAATATAACAAAATAAATAGGAGCTATTGCAGTCATAAATGGATTTTTTATACAATTTGTACAATCCTCTTGTCGTAAAGCATCCTTGAAAAGAAGAATAAATAGTATAAAACTACAATTAAATATAAATATTTTCTATTTTCTCGTTAAAACTCATACTTTCATTATTCCATTCCAATTATCACCCGTTGCTATTCGGAACAACGTTAAAAATGCCATTCCAAAATCTTTAAAATGTGCATGTTTATCAAGGCCTGTACACCGTCGTTCTTCATTACATTCTAATAAAGAAAACAAATTAAAAATAATATTATCCCCATTTTGCTCTAACCTAGTAAGAATATTAATATTCACCTAATTTTCCAAATAGTTCAACACCGAGTGCCGCAAAAATAAAAAATAATAAGAAAAAAAGTAAACCCTTAAGAAAAACAATAAAAATGTTAGTATAATTTTATATAGAATACAATTAGGTACTTTTACATACCAAGTTTCCCACTTGTGGAAGCGCTTGAATAACAGTGTCCAATAGAGCACGAATACCTTTAGCCATTTTTAATAATTTTAACACTAAAAAAACAAAAAAAAAAAAAAAATGGAAAGATATATGAAAGTTATACTACATTCGAATATATAAAAATAGTTTTCTAACCTCTTGCAATGCGAAGCACTCTCATTACTCTAATTATTGTTGGATTTATTGGTATATGTCCTGTTTTGAGTTTTTCCATAACAATTCCAGCAATCGAAAGTAAAACAATAAATGTATCAAGTTGATTCCACCTGTAAAAGAATTAATGAAATGGAATAAGAACATTTTGTTCTAAATTAAATTAGTTACGTACTTGTCTCGAAAGTATCGTAACGGACCAAGAGAAATTATTTTCAATAGAGATTCAATGACGAACACAGCTGTAAATACATAATTACAATAGTCGAGTGCAATATCAAACACCTTAAATAAAATGAAAAATAATAAAAACAAAAATATTATTTACAATCTTAATGAATCTATATTTTTATGTACCTGTGGCATT